AGGCCCCGTGCTGGGCTGAGCAAATGGGGATGGGAGCAAGCCATGGGCTGGCTGAGGGGGCTCCAGGGATGTGCCAGGAAAGGGGTGCCAGGATGCCCCAGCAGCCTGAGGCAGAGGGAGCGTGTGGTGGGGAGCTCTGCCATGGCAGGGACAGGGCTGTTCCCACCTGGAGCAGGCCAGGACAGCAGGGCCTGAGCCCCACGGCCCTGCTGGGGCAGGAGAAGGGACTGGGTGTCCCCCACAGCTCGTCCCCAGTCCCCGACACCACAGGGGACACCACGAGGCCCCACACACTGAACTCACCTTCATGGAACGCCGTGTGCAGGAAGGAGTCGTCGAAGAGCAGGCACCGGCCCTCAGCCCAGCACTGGGGCTCGCCCCCCACCACCAGTTCACAGTTGCTGGGTGTCTTCAGACCTTCAGGCACAAAGAGAGAGGACAGGGAGGGTCAGGCCGTGCCCGGTTCCCTGTGGCTCCTGCAGGGAGCAAACAGTGAGCTCCATATGAGCTCCACACTGCTGCTGAGGGGCTGCTGCCCTGCAAAGAGCGACCTGAACCCCAAGCCTGGAGCAGCTCAGCCCCTGCCCATTCCCTGTCTGCTCCCTCCTGCCCTTTCACTGTCCCCAGCAAGCTCAGGCACTACTTCCATATCTGGAACAGTCTGGAACGTATCTCCCCAGTCCCCAGAGCCCATGGCCCTGAGGTGTGCAGAGGGAGCCAGGCTCCTGGGATATTTTCCAACTTCAGGACCAAAGGCAGATCCTTCCTGCTCCTTCCTCCAGCCCTGCAGCGATGACCCTGCCCCAGGCAAGGCCGGGGGAGCAGGAATTGTACTGGGCCTGGAAAATGGGCTCAACTGTGGCTCTGCCACAAGCCCCCCATGTGCCTGCCCCATCCCTCAGTCCCCACCCAAAGTGCCTCAGGGTGACCCATGGGGCTGCAAGGACAGAAATCCAGAGCGGGGTCACAAAACTCTCATAGGGGAGCAGCTCTGTGAGGGCCACATGAAGGACAACCATAGAAATAAAATGGGTCTTTTCTTAAAATACCAGCACAAGCCAAGGCAGTTTGACAGGGGTTCCAATCACCTCCTGCACCCCCTCACGGTGCTGGGGACCCTGGAGCTGCTGCAGAGCCATCCTGCCCCGAAGATGCGGCCGTGGCGGAGAAAGGGGTCAGGGCTCACGTGGCTGCTGAACGGTAACGATGCAGCAAACGAGCAGGACGGATCCAAGAGCGATGCCAAACCCAGCGAGCGCAGCAGGGACTCCCAGCTGCCCGGCAAAGCTGGGACTACAAAGCTGCTGTTTCAAAGGCTGCAAAACCCAAAGCCATTTCCCTGCACAACAGACTCAGCTGGAGATGCTGGAACAGGGAAGCTGAGCTGCTGGGGGATGCGGGGAGGGAGCAGCCTGCAGCCCTTCCATCCCACTCACACCCTCGGGATGCCCTGGCCCATGGAGGCTGCCTGTGCCTGGAGTAAATCCGCGGCAGTGACTCGTCCCACTGATGGTTGTGCTGGCTTTGCAGATCCAGCTCCCTGAAAGGGCAGGTTGTGTCTTAAACCCATCCATGCCCCAGGCACAGCAAGACCTGCGTTCCCAGCCCCAAGGTGGGGGTGCCAGTGTGCCCCCAGCCCAGTGCAAAGTCCCAGCGGAAGAACAAGCTGTGTCATTCCTCTGCCCAGGACATTTGTGTGCCAGGTGTGCTCACCCGAGCCCACTCAGACACCACTGGTTCCTCCCAGGAACCTCTCCCAGCCCCTGACGAGGGGAACACATCCCCCAGCAGCCCAGAGAGAGGGGTCAGTGACAGACTTCCTCCTGGCACCAGCAAGGGCAGGTCCCAGCTGCCCAGCAGCTCCTGGGATCAGCTCTGAAGACAATTCCCATTCCAAACAAATGGCCAGCACTGCCTGGGTGTGTTTACCCGAGCTGTTGGCTGAACAGGCGCGGTTGGTGTTTGCCAGCCGGGCCCGTGCGGTGCCTCCCCCGGCACGGTCGGTGCTGTGCCAGCCCGGCCATCTGTGCCGCGTGGGCTCTCCCCGTCCCTGCCCGCCGAGCAGGGAGCACTGTGCCACCAACCCAGCGCCTGACCCACCGCAGGGGACAGCCCAGGGCCCCCCTGCCCTCACCTGCAGCTTTGCAAACCCCAAAGCAGCACCTCTGCTCCCATTCACACATGTCCCATGCAGAGTGCCCGAGATTCCAGGATAGGGGAGCTGCCAGTGGCACAACACAGTCCTGGAGCAGCACCCCAGGCTGTCCCACATCCCGGGATGGGAGAGGGACCTGCCTGCAGAGAGGGGGATGTTCAGAGACCCCTATGTAAAATCAACAAGAGTCCACGGCCCTGGGTCAGCAGGAGGAGGAGGTGAAACCCTCCTGCTGCTGATCTGGAGACCCTGAGGATTTCAGGTACCCAGAGACTGAGCACCAGCCTCTCCTCAGGAGGCTGTCACCACCAAAGCCCCCAAAACCTCCCTCAGGCCAAAGCAGAGCAGGTGTCTGAGCCCCAAGAGCACAGGGTGCCAGAGGCTTTTTTTGGGGCTCCTGTGCCCAGTCACGGCCACAGCCCTCCGCACCCTCCCGACACACGAACCACGGCACCGGACACTCACCGAGGTGGCAGCGGATGCGGATGTTGGTGGGCCCGTAGTGCTCGGCGATGACGGTGCCCGGGCTCAGCACAGAGATGCAGGCGTTCCCAAAGACATTGTTGCCAATGCAGGTACGGAGGCTCCCGAGCAAGCGGTACGTCCGTGGGCATCTCCGGCAGTTCCTGGGCACGCACATGCCCTGGTTCACCAGGTAGAAGGTGAACCACTCCCCGCTGGGCGTGCTGTTCATTTTCCATCCTTGCGGGAGGCTGCAGTTTGAGAACGCCTTGTACAGGGTCTCAAACTCGCACAGGATGGTCTGGAAGTTGCGCTCCAGCAACTCCACGTCGTGCTTTTGAGTGTCCCGGGAGAAGTAGGGCGTGGTGGGCAAGTCGGGCAGGAAGAAGACTTCTGGCTTCTGGATGGAGGGCCGGCTGTTGAGGTAGCGGCCCTGCTCGCGGATGCCCTTGTGGATCCTGCCCATGCCGGACCAGGAGTAGCGCTTGGCGTACTCCTGCAGGTTGTGGTAGAGTTTCTGGTTGAGGCCGTCGTGGTGCGAGCAGCGCACGCACTCGGGCGACTGGCAGTACACGAAGCCGTTCTGCACCCCGTTGGCCTCGGCGCTCTGCATCAGCGCGTTCACCGTGGCGTAGGCGCGGGGCTGCTCCCGCCCCACGTGGTAGCAGTACCACACAAACAGGACCAGCAGACAGGCGACGGCCACCAGGGCCGTGGCGTCGCAGTCGCGGAAAGACTGGATGCCGGTGGCAATGAAATCCCGGAGTCCGTCCAGGGACCAGCTCCAGTCCATCAGCCACTCCAGAGACATGGTGGTGGTGCTGGGAGCGCGCAGCGGGGCCCGGCGGTCACTGCTCGTGGGGCTCAGGGGCACCCACACCATGCAGCCGGGCCGGGGCGCGGCGAGAAGGGGCTGCCATGGGCGAGCGGAGCGGCGGCTCTGCCCTGCGCTCCCGGGAGCTCTGCATTGGCAGCGGTGCCCGGCAGCACCCCTGGGTCAGCAGCCACGTGGCCAGAGGGTCCCCACCGGCACTTCTGGGCCCACCATCCTGAAAGGCCGTGTTGGAGGGATGCTCTGGGGAGAAAAAACCCAGAGGTGTTAGGGAGAGAGCTGCCCTGTGGGGTCCCTGCTGGGGTCAGTGCACAGGACACAGCCAGAGCTGTGCACTGCGACTGTGTGGGGCACTGGCTCCTCAGGGAGGGGATGGTGGATAAGGAACCCAACATCAGCCTATGCTGGGTAAATTCCCCAGTGCTCTCAACAGCATCTTCCACAAATACCCAAATAAAAGGCAGCGGGGAGACCCAGACCCCATCTCCCACCACCCCAGTGACCATCTCCCCTCCTGCTCGTCCTCCAGTTTCTCTCCTAAGTTGCTGCCTTATCTTGTCTGAAATCTGGCTGCTAAGTGAATATACACTGAGAGTAGACACTTCACTGCCCTATCTGGCAGCACATCAGCTTATCCCCTCCATCTGATGGCTCTGAAGTGACTCTCCCTCCAGAGGCTGAGCTGTGGGAGAGCCCAGAGCTCAGCCAGCACATGGCCACAGGGCCAGCACATGGCCACGGGAGCAGGTCAGGGTGGGGGCAACAAGGGCAGGTCAGGGTGGCTTGTTTGATTTCACCAGCTCATCGGTAAGAGCACTGACTCTAAGTAGCAGGATGGGTTTATGAGCCAGGGAAGCCATCCAAACCCTCCCCAGCCCTTCCTAGCGAGGTCCTGCAGCCTCTCAACGTGTATTTCCTTATCAGTGGTGATGGAGATGGGCTGCAGATGGGATCTGACCCTACAGCAGGGCTGGAGACCTGGGATTCGGGCAGTGTTACACCCCAGGGACGAACATCCACACACCCGACCTGCCTCCACCCTACTTCCTTGTAGCATGCTGCCTGCGTGCCCCATCCCGGGATCTGCAGCCCACGTGGCATGTCACAGCCTCCCGGGAATCTCAAGATAACTTTCCTCCATCTCCACGGCTGGCATCCCTCCAGACACTCCCGCTTCTCCCGCCCAGGCCTCCGTTCCAGGGGTGCAACCACAGAGTGGGTCCCAGGGGTGTCCCCCAAGGCCAGCACAACCCCCGTGCAGGACTGGAGCACGTCAGGGGAGGAGCAGAGCCCTGGCTGATGTGTATTCAGGGTGCCCTACAAGGGGAGCTGCTCAGGCACAGCAGCCACGCTCGGTCAGAGTCGATGGCAACGTGAAGACACAGGAGGAACAGAACTGGGGGGTCCAAAGCCTCGGGGTCCCCAGGTCAGAGTCACACCCTGCAAGGGCAGCACAGCAAAAACACTGACCCCACTGCTGCCCCAGGGCTGCAGGCAACACCTCAGATCAGCAGGAAACCAGCAGAGCAGCAAGAAATCCAAGCCCCTGTGCCCACAGACCGCCTTGCCCGACCCCAGAGAGCCAGGGAGCCTCGGGCTGCAGAGCCCTGGGGTTCTCTGGGCACAGTCTCCGTGGGACCAGCCCAGGAGCTGCCTCCTTGTGCCAGCACAGACACCTCACTGCAAACCTGACCAAAGCCACGTCCAGAGGGGCTGGGGCAGGGCCCCAAACATCAGCACTGCTCCCCACACACACCGCGTGGCTGGGGCTGCACGGGGCACCCGCTGGGTGCTGTCACCTCCCAGCCACGGCCCTGCACCGAGCCGGGTCACATCCTGCACCCCTGGCCTGAGATCCCAGAAAAGGCTCCTCAGCTAATGATAATGGCAGAGCCCTTCCAGGGAGCGGAGATCAATTCCACGTTGCACCGAAGTTGTGCAGGACGTGGAGGCGAGCACCGTGCCAGCAGCAGCCGTGTTACATAAGGAAGGCAGAGGCTCCGATGCAGCACAAAGTTGCATCTCGGTGGCTCCGTGGTGGCCCCGGCATCTCCTGGAGGCGGCTGGTTCCGCTCAGCCCGGCCAGGGTCCCCGGGCCGAGGGCCTGCGGTGACGGGGACGCGTGGCAGGGATGTCCTCGGCTCGGCACGGCTGGCGTCGCCTTTGGGAGCAGCATGAGGAGCGGGAGCCTTGGGGCGAGGCGGGATGCCCGTGCCGCTCCGGAACCGGAGCAGCGGCTGCTCCCTTCACCCTCTCCTGAG